TACTGATTTTTTTTAATTAAAATTAATATTTTTCATTTAATATACAAAAGATCTTTGATTATTGGGAATATTTGTTAAAAAATTTCTTCAAAATACCAGTCTATGTGTTTTTACGCTTTTATATTTTGAAAAAGAAGTCTTTCGTTTGTGTAAGTCACATATTAATTATGAATTAAGATATGTTCGGGTTATTTGGGACTTATTACTGCTATGGGCTTTTCATTTTAAAATGACAATATTATCAGTCTCAAATGTCAAAATGTAATGTCAAAATGAGTACATGTGTGTATTACTAGTGAAAGTAAAAATTGAATAATTTACGAAAATGCCCTTAGCAAGCACCAGTTTAGTATTTGTTGAGAATGGTATATACAGTGAACATGTATACATAATTGAAAGCTATTAATAGAACTAAACCGATTGAAACCCACCGACACTAATTTATAACTGACACACAAAGTTGTGTTGCCATGGGCCCCGAGACGAATAAGACAAGTTAAATTAATCATATAGGCTAGCTGCTCCAACTTCAATGAACTTCAAGATTCGATTCTTATAATACGGACGGTGTCATCATCACTTTTGGTGATAACTCTGCATTGTAAAGTAAAGCCAATCAATTTAAATGATGACTCGAACATGATGACAATCACAAGTTCAGTGCATCGGATGACATCTACAGATTGCTTGTTTGAAATGTTAGTGTACTGAATTAATCAAAGTTAATTCTTAATTCTTTCCCTCTATAGTTAAGTTGTGTTTTATTTCCGATTAATTGACTTATTTTGCTTCTTTAATATGGACTCCATTTTGGCCTGCTCTCTGTTCCAAATGCATTTTGGATCGAATAATGTTTTCGACTCAAGTAAAAATGCAACAATGAAACTAGAATATGACAAGAAAATAAATACGAAATATAACTTATTATTGTAATAAATTATCATTCACTTTGATATATGGTTGGTCTATGGCATACACGTGACTATGGAAAAAGAAGCCATATTCCCCGGCTACGAATTTGTCCAGTATACTCTGAACCATATACCCGGTTGGCATTTCGTTCAGTACGCCGACTGGCATTTCGTCCAATGTAGGTTTATACAAGGGCTTATTTAATACCCGGGGCTTAGTTGTGTACCAAACGAAACGAGAAACGGCATGGTATCTGGGGCTTTGTTTGGTCTTCATTAGACAATGGTGTATAGAGGGGTAGGGTTTCTCCCGTTTTCTCAGAACTAGGTACCTTTTTTCTGTACCGTTTTGCGGTTATTTTACTCTATAGCATTGGAATCTGTTCACATCATGAGCTAGATAATTGATTAACTTAAATATATGACATGTAAAAACGGCTTGATATGAACAGCATAAACAGGGAAATGTAATTTAAGTGGCGATTGTGTTTTCTGTTAATGTGTGTCACCCTGCTTCGGAAATCCCCCATAACAGTCCATGGCTCACGTGATTATTCAAATGAGAAAACCCCATTGGTTTCAATGTGGTACAATCAAATCTGACGCGGAAAATCTTCGTTTTAACTGTTGTTTCTGAATGGTTCGTGACCGAAATTCAGTTAACCATAGAAAATATGTTCTCACATCTCTATCATGTTTATTGGCTAATTCAAATCGGATGCGGTAAAAAACGAACGCCAATTTGTAATCGATTAATGGTAGTATCCATTCAAATAACACGGCGAAGGTAAACGACATCCCATACTTTTTTCACCATTGTGAATTGTTGTGTTGCATGGATTTTGGCAACGATTTTGTGGATGGATGTTGACCCTTTGAATTGCCTATATATGGACTTTGAGACTAGTTTTTGTCTATCCAACATCATTTGAGATCTCTATGACTACTAGTATCTACATCTATTTTTGAAGTTATGAGTATTGGCTATCAATTTCTTCATTCAATAATATGTATTGTAATGATTTCAGTATAAATGGAATGTCCCTTGGCGTTATGGTCCTGTATTGTGATATTGGTTCTCGATTGGGGGGGGGGGGGGGGGCGGGATATTAGACATTATTTCTTTTCACGTGAGATATCATAGTTTTGGGATATATAGGGTCTATTTTTCTTATGGCAGGTTTACACTTAGTTCTTATGGCAGTTTTCCTTTCTTGCTGGGTTTCTGTAAGTTTTTGGTCCTCTGCCTTTGGCATTTGCGTTTATATATTGAATATTTGTATAATTTGTATAATGATTACCTCATTGTACGAAAAAAGGCTGCGATTCATTTTCACAGCAAGTTCGGAGAATATAGACTCAAAGGAATTTATCACATACGTTGTGTGGACAACAACTACTTATCTTTAATTAGAAAAAGTAAATAGTCTTTGAAATCAAACCTCTTTTGTTTACAATGTGTAAAACGTGACAAAGTTTACCTTAACCTTTTCAATGCGATTTAAAAGTAATTTTGCTTCTTACTGTGTATGTAGAGTCACTGGTGATCCACTCGATTACGCTGGAACCGTTTCGGTAACAAAATGTCAGAATGTCGAAGGTACGATTTTTCTTTTTTCCTTACTTCACACGTTGTAGGCAGAATTCCCAAGACATTTTTATCACAAACGTGTATCAGTATCATATGTTTAAGACAATGTACACATCTGCGAACAAATAGTTCAGAAGACAACAGAATCGTCGATTTAATTTTCTCACTTAAGTTACATAAATAGTTAAGATCTGCACTTTTAACCCTTGAAAAAAAATATAAAAAATATATAATAATTTTCAGTGGTGGTTATCTCACGACATCCATTTCGAAAAGAGTGCCCTTCTCGGGAAAATGACATTTAACGTTGACATTATTATATGCTGATTGAATTGCCGTCAAGGCGAGCAAATTGAAAGTTAACATACCCATTAGTAATTGGCAAGGTCATATTTCTGAAATAAATATCAGCAGTTTACGATGAAGGCCGTAAAATCTAATTCACTTTTCTTTTATTTTTCTTTTGCCGAAAAAAATGCCCCAGCGGCAGAGAAATGTCTCACTTAAGTTAATGCTTGTCTTGAATCTAGTTAATTTAGGGTACTTATATTATACTTATACACTTCATGTGAATTCAGCTCAGAGACTTCCCAATATTTTATATATCTTTTTTCAAGGATTTTCTTAATATCAAGCGGTTTGCTATTAATGTAATTTTTATCTTGTGGTTGAACATATGCCATTATTCTATCAATGTCATAGTACCATGATGGTTGATTATGAACTTTTGATAGTTCAATACTATCTGCATATGCATTAATTAGTAATGAACTCGTTCCTTCATTTTCTATATGATCTAAGTATTTAACTTGTTGGTAAAATATATTGATAAACAGAGGGAATCTACCTAACTCACCCATCGTAGCTAAATTACTCGTTTTTCTATGCACCCCTAATATAAACTTCAAAAAAGATAGATGTAGTAATTCCGGTGGAAGTGACTTGTCATATTTCATTTCAAGGCCAAAATCTTTATTTTTCAGAAGATCTTTATTAGTTATTAGACCAGCACCCCAGATTTCACATCCATATAATAAAATTGGTTTTACTAATATATCAAATAGTTTCAGGCACAAAGTTATGTTTATATCACCATGTGTAAGCATACTTATCAATTTGAATTTCGCCTTTTCTGCCTTTTCTTTAATAAAGATTGCAGCTTGTTTCATCAATATAAAGTTTTATTAAATGAAATTTGGGGAGTAACTCCAGAATTAAATTATCTTTTAAATGAGGTATGGCACGATATGAAATATTCAGGACTTTTGGCTGTAGAGGGGGGGGGGGTGCCGTTATTTTTTGACACCCTGTACACGTTTATGTATGCAATTTATTAAACATAAATCTCAGGAATGAACACCTTGAAGACATTTTTCGTATTTATAATAGAATTGGCAAGCTGATGTTTTTATTTAAAAAATTCAATCCCATTTTCTTTACTTTAATGCTATTTTTACTGTTAATGAAAATTGTATGTTGGATGTACGTTTGGCCCTAAAAGGGCATCAGTCCAAATAAATCCTATTATATATATTGCGATAGATTGTAAAAACTTAGCAAGACATGCCATGACACTTGGTTTGAAATGGTACTTCCGGTTGGCAAATACTATACAGCGTGTCACTTCGACCTCATCAGACTAAACCCTGTCGAGACAAACATAGAATGGTAGCTCAAAATACAAATGAAAGGATTCTTTAATTTAGTATTGCGTCAGTTGTTTAACGTACTTTCAGCAGAAAGTCAAAATGACATACGATTGCGACAATGACATATACCATACCCCCAAGAGTATACGTAGAACTATTTGTCAAAACCTACAGGGTCTGAACTCTGAACCGTTCATTATTCACCATTTGCTTGTAGATGGATTTAGTGACCATGTCGATTTCAGATAACATGTACAAGTGCAAAACGATACCTTGACCGATATGCCATTTTGGTATATTAAAGTTATATGTTGCATGTTATATTTTAGTTTTAAGACATTTGTGTCAGTTAATTTAGGAGGCCACTTGGTAAAGCCCCTTAAATAGTACGAAGAAATGTTTTATTCTAAGAAAATACTAAAATATTATACAATATTAGGGAGGTTAAGCTACAGGGAAATATTGTACAAAATGTCACTCGGCATATGATAACCTATTAAGGAAGTTAAGCTATACGCTTTACTTGTACAAAATTGCGTAGTATCATGGTCCTCTAGGGATAGATCTCCCCTTCTGTATTAAGTATTAAGATTCCGGATTACAAGTATAAAGGTGAAGGCCTGCGTAACATTGTTGTAATTAGGCCGCTGGAAAAAACAATTATGAGGGGGTAGTGATCCTCTGGGGTCATAATATTATACACACGAGTTCTCCTCAACACAAGTAGCTTACTTACCTATTATTCTTAAAACTTTCTAGGAAGAAAATAGAAGTGATTGATATATCATATATTATTGTTTCCATTATATGCGTATATATTTATTACCGTTAATGCTCTCTCTGTTGTAGGGAGGCTCTACTGTAACCGCACATTCGATTCCTGGGGGTGCTGGAATGATACACTGGCAGGTACCAAAGCCTACACCAAATGTCCTGGTTTCATCAAAGGATTTGATCCAGGGCGTAAGTATATTAGATGAAATTAAAGTAACTTCGAAATTATCTAAATAAAGAGAAAACGTGTCGGAAGTAGCATAATTGATGAATAGTATGCTTTGTCTAATAACTGGTCATTAAAGGCCTCGTCTAAAGTTTGAAAATATGTTTTTTATCATTCATTTACTTTTTTCATTAATTTTTGAAAATATTTTTATTTTTCAAATATTCAAATTTCCCGCCAAATAAAAGTTGAAATTCTTTAATCATCAAATATTCTGCAATTCAATGCAAAACATATTTACTTTTTAATACCACTGCAAAGGATGTACTATTTGAATGATAAAATGTCATACTTAATGTGCCACTTGTTTTAGCATATAAAACAACGTTTGCACCCTGAGTGACATTATCGTGATGTTATTTTGGATGCAATTTTTTTCTGAATATGCTAAATTTTCAAAATAAACCAATGTTGAATATCTCACGATTAATATGTTGTGTTTTAGATATATCTGTACATTTGGTTTATGAGAACTAAAACTTTGAAATGCATTTTTCTCTGAACCACTTTCATGCATGGATGAGTTCATTTCTCGCTTATTTATCGACCGATTTTCTGAATTATTTCAATAAAAGACACGTGAGGATGAATACTATGCATTGGTATGAATTATCACTTTTTAAAACAAATGTGTGAAATCTAAAATTTAGATTTCAATAAATTCATGATTTTTGGAACAAAAAGTCCTTCAAAACTTGAAATTTAAAAACAAAGTTTCAGATATCACATTTTGATAACATTGGGTAAGACTTCAATATTAGCAAGAGTGGTTTAAACGTTATATGAGGACTTTAAAGGATTTAAGTCCGGGACTAATGCGTTTTGGGATGATTTATAAACGTATGTGTTGTTTCCAGTCTTTGCATGAGTGAGGCGTACCAAAGTAAAATAAAGGAACCAGCGCATGAATGAATTAAATCATCCGCAATTTATAATTATAACTTTAAATAGAATCACTTTTTTAACTTTTAGTGTCGACGGCATTCAAAGATTGCAACAAGGATGGGACCTGGTGGAGGCATCCTAAAACCAATAAATCCTGGGCAAACTATACTCCCTGTGTAAATATGGGGGATTTTGAGGTATATAATAGAATGTCTTATATAATATTCGATATTTGATTTATAACTTATCTCATTTTAGCAGTTTTAGTTTCTCCATGAAGCGATATAAATCAGAATACTTGGGAACAATTTATTGATTTGTAGTATTGCGATACAAAAGTAATCTGATTAGAGGGTATCCATAAAGTATCTTTACACCTTACGCAGTTGTTGCATTATAATTGTAAAGATACTTTATGGTTACCCTGAAAACCCGAATTAACAAGAAATTTTAATTTGTCTGGGGCTATGAAAAATGCAAAAAGATGAATCAAGAATAGAAAATAGAATGAAGGATTTGAAATGAAATAACTTCTCATGAAGACATATAAGTGTTCTCTATCGTTCCCATCAAACGTAAGGATATTAAAAATCGTTTCTTTGATTTTGATTTTCAGAAGAACAGAATGTTGATTTACACTTTCATTTCCGGCTACACAGTGTCTATACTAGCACTTGCGGTGTCACTTGGAATATTCTGCTTTTTCAAGTAAGTTATCGTAGTATCCCTTATTCTTGATAGCAATTGTGTATCTTCTCTATAACACACCAAAGGAGTGTTGTTCCATTATCGAGACGTGCCACACCTAAAAACAAGTGTCGACGTGCGGAGGGTCTGATTAATTGAGGCCCCAACGTTCTTTTCGATATTTTTGGCAGTAGCTACACAAACTTGCTTCATACCTCAATAGATTTAATTACTTTTGTCCTCATTTGTGACAAACGTTTCGGTTATCTCAGAGATGTTTATTTTACTTTTTGACTTTTCAACGTTTCGGTTTGCTATTTTGATGCGCATGCAGAAAATTGAATAAACTCTCCTTTCTACTGGAGGCCATTTTGAAATGCAAAAACCGACTCAAAAAGCAAATTGAACACCTTCGCAATTTAAGAACGAACGAATGTAAGAATCTATTGAGGTAGGAAACGGGCGTGGCTAGTGCCGGAAAAAAGTATCGAGTTTTAAACATTAACGTAGGCACAACGACCAGATCTCCACACAACCATATACTTCTAGGTAGGGGCGACACATCGATTGTTTTTTATCATATATCTCAACATTTATTTTCCATGTGTGACTTTCTGACCTTGATACTGACCACTGATTTTGACTTTTTTAAAGAAATAATATAGATCACCAATAAGAGTGATTTAGTCAAGTGGTTTGTAAGTTATGTATTAAAACTGGCAATACTCAACTAATACATCACTGTAAGGGGTTTCTAGGTGGGGTGGTTTGTAAGTTATGTTTTCACTTGATTTTTTCTGGAATGGTCTATTAGTAGTGTACTAAAACTGATCCTTGATTTAGAATGAGAAACCCCTTTTAAATGGTGGAAATAGTTAAAATGTGAGAGAATTAATTCTGCAATGAAATGTAGCATTACAACCAGAAGGGGGACTTCTTGCTCAACATAATCATAAACTTAAGGTACGTAGAAGATACATGTTGAATCTTATTCATATTTCTCACTGAAATTAACTCTATAGAGATTTTGTACCTTATGGATGTATAGAATTCTGAGATTTCAGGAGTGATTTGTTAGTAGTCTGTTATACAGTAGTGGTGTATTGGTGGTGTATAAGACTTCTGATGTGTTAGTGGTCTATTAGTAATATTTGAGACTTCAGGAGTGATGTATAAGTGGTATGTTAGTGATGTATAAGTAGTGAATTACATGCTCTCTGATCAATAATTTTTGTCTCATTTGTATCGTAATCTTTTCAACTAATAAACCACCAGTTAAATCAATGGCAAAAAGTGGCATGTTAACGAAAATTACAACTAACAAATCACTTATAGAACATGTTCTACTAGTTGAGTATTAGTAGTCGTGTGGTTTGTTAGAGTGGTTTGATTTGAAGACACAATGGTATGAATATGAAAATTATCAAAGTAAATATTAGTTCTACATCAAGGGTAATCTTACCATAAGGTAACGGCAAAGATATTGTTTTGATTGCCTATGGGGAAGTCAATGAATTTTATGACATTATTGTAAACTTGAAATGTGACTGTAATCCCTGCTCAAAGAATTTTGCATTCATAAAATTAGATTTTAGCATCGAACCTAGCGATATGGGGAAGTTGTACGTCCGTTCGTGAGGGTTAATACCTATTCATGAATTTTGGCCAAAAATGTTTGCCTTGTGAGAATTGGATCTCTGCTCAGGGAATTTTCGATATTGGCGCTCAGTTCAAAATGGCTTCCATTTTCTAACTAAAAATGTAAAATCAAATGATTTGTTTCAATATATATAGGCTGATGCACATGCATAAGGGCGTAGAGTAGGCCTGTATGTTCAATAGGCATTTTTTAGATGACTCGTTAATCAAAATTGCCGCCATTTTTTCATGATATGTATTTTCAGATAACTCAAATACTGGCTATCGGATTTGTTCCAGATTTTATAGTATGATGTCGTTTGGGAATAGAATTACTCAGGGCGATGTTTTCTTACATGGCCACTCATCATGGCCGGCATAATCGAAAAAGCCCAATCCAATTTAATCAAATCTATAGGCTGGTGGCTATAGGCGTTTTAAATACAGTATATATTTTGCCATCTGATTGCCTACGGGGTACATTTTATTAAGTGGTGAAGCAAAACATTTTTTTCTAAATATGCTTAATTCCAAATCACTATAATGTTAGACGTAATATCAATCTAGATCCACCCCATCTCCTCAAATACGATTATCCAGAAAAAAAATCACGAATTTCAATTTCTTTTTTTATTTCAAGTCCACTTATCTATATTCTAAATCGCGGATGTAAATTATGAACACTCACGCTAACACAGGTATATATAACCTGATGGTGTTTATGCCCGTTTTTCCTTTATTTTTATAATTGCCATAGAATTAGGAGTATCTTGATTACCAATATTACTAGACCATATAGGCAGATTACCGGTTAAAGTATCAATATAAATCCAAGTAACAAGTGTTTTAAAGGATATCCGTTGTTTAAATCTAATTTTGGAATGTAATATATCAGCAAACTGACATCTTAGCTCTAACCATGGATACAATAAAATTGAACAAGGTGATCATTATGTGTCACTGATCACCGGGCAATTTGTGGAAATTAATGTAATTTCACTATGTTTCCGCATGATGTACAGGAATAGGTCGTATTCTTCAACTCTGGCAAAAGTTCACTAACTTGTTTAAGGACAAACTCTATAAAAACAAATTAACTGTAATCATATTCAGTTGTAAGAACATGTATATGCTACACAAGACCAAAACCGACACCTCTGGAAGAGAGAAAATGCGAAACATGCAATATTATAGAAAATGAAGAACACTATCTCCTTCACTGTACGAAATATAATAAACAAAGAAGTATAATGTTGTCTAAAATGAAAATGCTAGTACAAGAAAATCTATTTATTTATTTGATGTCCGGTAAAGATCAAAACTGTATAAATGTAGCAAAATATATAATTACATCCAGTACCAATAGTTATATCTCTAGTGCACCAATGCATCGTCATCCTTAATAGTAATACTGATAGTTAAGTAGTTTTTTACATGTAAATGTCTTCTTTTTCCTTCCTTTATGATTGTTATAATTTTTTGTTTCTACATTTACTTGACCCCAAGGGGTGTGAATGTACTTGAATAAATAAATATGTATACACTTATAGCCTTATTCCACCTTTTATTTGAAATATCAACGTCGTGCAGATAGCAACTGTATGAACATTTTCATCATACTGTTAAATACAATACTGTAATGGTTTATTATATTCACACAACAACGATAAGTAGACTATATATAATTTCAGTTGAAATGAATTTCGGTTATAGATTTGGTTCCTTACCTTTTCTCATGTATGATTTTGCTGTGTTAACTTTCACAAAAATACGATTCAAGAATTGGTTACACAGTGTTGAAGAATATGACAAGTTTATGTGAAATTAGCCAGCTTATGGGACCAGCTTGTTCCTTACCTTTTCCATGCATGAATTTGCTGTGTTCACTTTGACAAAAATGAGATTCAAGAATTGGCTACACAGTGTTGCAGATTATAACAAGTTTATGTGAAATTAGCCAGCTTGTATAGGACCAGCTTGTTCCTTACCTTTCCCATGCATGATTTTGCTACATGTTAACTTTCACAAAAATACGATTCAAGAATTGGCTACATAGTGTTGAGGATTATTACAAAATGTGAAATTAGCCAGCTTGTATAGGATCAGCTTAGTCCTTACCTTTCCCATGCATGATTTTGCTGTGTTCACTATGACAAAACTGAGATTTAAGAATTAGTTACACAGTGTTGACGATTCTGACAAGTTTATGTGAAATTAGCCAGCTTGTATAGGATATAAACAGTTGTAGTAGCAATACTTGTTTCTTATTCATGAAATCATTATTTTCATGCTTGGTTAATTCTTCCCAAGTATGTTTAAGTTATGCCTGAACGCTTGTCAATAAAATATGCTGGGTATTGATTTGTTTATAATTGTTCAAATAGTTTTTTAAACGGATTTCTGTTTAAAAATAGCACAACTTGCTTGTCTGGTATTTAAATCTGTCGTTTAGCTCAAATTAACAACCATACATATATCGATTATGTCGCTCGTCGTCGCTAAGTGCACTTTAAATGTCAAATAAACGGAATCAAATCGTATAAGTATTAGATCACATATGACGACAAATGCCTCGTATAGTATCTTCAAACAAATCGAACTATTCAGATGGTCGCGAATTTTCTCTGTTCCAAATTTTGAAACCATTTTGGGCCATATCGTCTTGTTCGGCAGATATTGTAAAACTTCAAACAATATTTTATGATTTCATGGATATGTATGTATTAACACACGTTGGTTTATTCCCTAGAAAAATGTAAAATGTGGTTGAACATGATCAAAGCACTTTTTTAGTAATAGAAATCAGAGTTCATGTTCAGTTACTAGTAATCCTAATGCTGGGAACGTATTTTTCATATCACTAACGGGCGGGGGCAGATACGACCCCCTAACGTTTTCAGAGTTGGGCGGAGGTACAGTAAAAACGAGGGAGGTATATCAATAGAAAATAAACATCCTAGAAAATACCACTGATTGTGAAACAATTTAAGAATTTTGGTTGGGTATTGGCTGTTTTAGTGCATCTCGGCTGTAATATGATGTGAAAGCAAAATTGCAACGAAGACATTCACTTTCAGATGTCATATATAAATGAAGGTGTACATCATACACAAACCAGAGACGCGATTAGCGAGCATCTGGAACTTACAAAACAACGTTACAGATACCTTCATAATGAGTGTATACAGGTGTAATATACATGTAAGCATATGGCTCTAACTTGTATATGTCCATTAGTATATGATCATCATATTCAACTCGTCGTATATCAAGGCAAGTTTGATTATAATACAATCGTACTATGGTTGGTTGTATCACATCGTTTTATATTATTATCGCATTTAATCCAGATGTCTATGATTAGATATAAGATGACAGATCATTATTTACAAAGTAGCAATTTGAAAACAATGACTATGTAATGTGACAATTCATTAAAAGAGCTGTCGTGTTGACATATATTTGTGCATACATTTGCTTATTTACGTATTTGTGCAGTCAGTTGCAAGCGCGTGTAACGGTCCAGATAATGAACTCAACAAAAGGCGATGCTATTAAGACAATGTCGAAAGATATATATCAACGTAGAAAAGCATTCCATTCGATTCGATAACTCAACGTTATCCATTTTCATATATCTAGGTAATCTGTATGATATCGCATGTTTATTTTAGAATATGCAGGGTTTTGATTTAAAAGCTTATTGTAAACATTAGTTGAATTATAGCTATCAATTCATTTAAAAGATTAATCAATATTTTATCGCTAATACTAATTGAGAATACTCGTGGTATTATCAATCCCTGTGTTGTGTTGACTTAAAATGAATTTTATAAATTTCCTATTCACTTACATTCCACACTCTCTGTCCTATAGGGCTACATGGCTAAGAAACTAGAAGCTGTGACTTGGCTGTGAGTTCGCCAAGATGTCTACAGTGTAATCTGAGCCCTATTCACCGCTGTCATTTCGTCCAGTGTACTGTCATACCGTATACCAAGGCTGGCATTTCGTACAGTGTATTATATATTCCATATAATTAATCAATAGGATGCATACTTATTCCCGTTCAGATAACATGGCAAATGCAACAAAAACATGAGTGGAGATCTCGAGATTGAGGAAGATGAGCAGTGAATTATAAAACAAATATATGACTTCTATTTCCTGTGAATAGTACAATTCGGCCCTCGGTCAAATATTTCACGTGCCCTTCGAAATGACGTTATTAGTATTATTACCACCGTTAATGACCAGGACTGAAACAGCAAGAAAATCTTACGCACTAAACGATATCTAATTTCCCGGGGAAAATTGCCGGTCATTAATTGCATTCTTGACCGGCAATATTGACCGCCACTATGACGTCACATATTGCTCAGGTCGATATAGCAAAATGAATGCCTTCTAAACTAGCACTAAAACCCCTAGAACTGGCCCGAAAGGGTGGTAATAAGACACAAGAGGGCCGGTGAAATATTGAAATATTCACCTCAACAGAATGAAATACCAATAGGATATAACATGTACTTTTTCATTATTTTCTTTTTGACAGTTTATAACGTGTACATTCTACTATGGCCTTTTATTGCTCAACCTGCATATCCACGACAGCGTTCATATTCTGTTGGTTTCTCCGACTTTATCAATAATTGTTCACTATTTTTAGAATGTCCGCGTTTAGTGTTATTGTTATTATACTGGGCTTTATGGTTTTCCATACTTAAAGAGGATGTAAAATATCTACCTGAAGTATAATGCATATGTTTTTAGAAATAACTTCATCCGTCTCAGGTATCGTAATTACCAGCTGTTATTCTATACAGGATATAATATAACGTCATATTTTTATATATTTTCAGGCAGTTGCAGTGCGATAGAATAACCTTACACAAGAATCTGTTCGTCTCCTACATCTTAACTGGTCTCGTTTGGATCCTGTATTATGTTTTTGCTGCATTAGATGCGCAAGTACTCATTGATAATCCAGTAAGATGTACTTCATTACAATTATGTTGTAATTACTAGACTATAAGATATAGATATTGCTTACCCAAAACATTGTTAGACAAATAATTTAGGAATAGGAATAAAACATTGATTTAGACCTCAATTTGTGGCGAATAGACTTGATGCGAGTAGAAATAATCTTGATTTACGTCATTAAATATTCAAAATTCAGTCAAACTGATGTCATATTTAAAATCTACATGTTTAAGTTCATCTAGAAATATGGTTTCTAAAATTGTCTATCAACTTTGAAATTTTTTTTTTGAAAATGTGACTTCTTGTTCGGGTTGAATCCTCATAGACCCCATGTTACAAAATCACAAAAAGTGAATTATCTTTTCTTGTATTGGACAGATAACATTTTCTTTTGTACTGGACATATTTTAATTTGCATAACTATTAGATACACGAGGTTTATATGAAAATTGAACCACGCAAATAGATGTAATTTAAGTTAAAGGGAACTTTCTACTACCCACCATGCTATTTGACTCGAACGAGCCACCTGGTGGTGAATCTAGTAACTACCTACTCGCATCTGCGTTATTTGTATACCTATGTGTAGATTGTGCTATTTGGTTGGTGATTCTTTGAGACCGAAATGCAACTCATCATCAACTCAGTTTTTTTCAAAGTGGATTTTTGATAAGCCAAAATACTCATGTTTAAAAATATCATCTTCACGCTAGTTTGGTCAATGAGACGGGTTGGATTTTATTTTTTCCAGAACTTTTCTTGTAAATCCAAACATCCACGATGAGCAACTGATCAATGAAAAAACAAGTTGATAAAAAATACGATGGTCAAATCTTGAGAAATCATTTAAACTGTAAACCTTAAAAACGGAAACGACAGAGAAACGAAACGTTTTCAAATAGTACCATCGGCTTTAACGAGTCCACTGGTGTGTTCCAATATGGCAGAAAGCGACCATATGGCCAAATTTGTCCATATTGAGCTTGAGAAAAGGTTGTCTGCATTTGAGTTGAAATATAATACGGATGAACCGCTTTTACGGTATATAAGGTATACAATAGAGAGATTTTTGCAACTTATAAACCGTCGTCTATGCCTAAGAATATCAGACTTATGGATAAATGATGACGTAACCAAACGCTTCATAAGTTATACGTTATACGGGAATAATGAACAATTTTCTTTAAGTGAGTTGCAAAATCTCTATTATTACACACTTTATCTCTAACATGCTGTCTTTGTTCTTTCAGTGGTGGTGCAGAGCTCTCCATGTAATATGTTCATACTTCACCGCTTGTAACTTCCTATGGATGTTCTGCGAGGGATTATATCTTCATACCATAATTGTTTGTACGTTTACTTCGGGAAAAACACTTATGATTGTTTGCTATCTACTAGGGTGGGGTGAGTAAAGCAACTTCAATTATAGTAGATGTTTTTTGGATTTGTAAAAAATATAGCCATATATGTAGCTATACTATTTAAATAGTAGATCGTAGATGTGTTGCGAGAACTAATCAGTGAATGGTTTGTATGATTAATTCCACAAGTATTCCCATGAATCATATTGTAAGGCCCAAAGCTTAATACCATTTTTATGTCACTACAAAAAGTGGTAACATATTGTTATGGTCTCCAACCTTTTTTGACGACGGTTGGCGTCTGACTTTCGGCGTTCAGCGTCTGTAAGCGGCAGGTGGTGACATTTTGCATGTGAATTCCTTGCCTTGGATTTCTTCCGTACATACTATCATTCTTGTAAAAGATATGTGATGACCAAAATAAAAAATATGATCATCTCCGACCGTAGTATCATCACCTCCTAAATTAGAGGACATAGACAAAAACTCCATAAATATTCTCATTTAATCGTTGTGACCATGAATGAATAAATTTATATTAAAAGAACAATTAAATCATCTCAAACTTGGCGTCTTTACTTCTGTAAATGACGCTCTGATTTCATGTGTTTTAGGATTGTCAATCATAAATACAACTATCTACACAATCATTCGTTCAACACATCCAACTGAATCACAAAGGTACGTATCATGGTATTAATCTCGAGCAGAAAAATCTAGGATTGTCACTTTAACTATAAACACATTTACTTCAACTGATATTGCTTTTGCATCAATATACTCGATTAATGACAAGCTATAAATAGAACGGTCCCTTCGTCTCTATTGATTCCTGCTGGTTCCAGCCAATTAATCATCCTATCGTAAAAATAGACTAATGCAAGATAGTTGAACTTTACTGAACAATTCTTCGAAAGTTTTATTCAATCAAATAAAGCGATTGTTATTCGACTTATATCATTGGATATATTACTAGTTAGAGGATAATGTATTAACATATACACTCCCCTCCATAAGTTTGGCAACCTTTTTTCCCCCATTGAACTACGTGTTAAAGCCTCTTTACCTTTGAATTTGTATTTACTTAACCTGCGATGAAAATACTTATACTATTGATGGAAACGTTATTTGACTTTAATTCCAATACTTCCAAATTTTCTCAATTTTTTTCCTCAATTACAGTAGGTCGAAAATTGATGATGACTTTGATGAATTTTTGAAAATCGACATTCCCATGTTAACCAATGGGAAATGGTAAGTTTGCTGCAAGTCATATGACAGAATATCCATCCATCCGAGTCCTTGCAAAAAATACGAGTTAGGCAGGTAATTGAATTTGGTAACTTTATGTAACAAAAATTGATATGTTTCTTCAGGTTCAACAAAGTTATAGGGCTTTAAAGTCAAAATTGTTTTTCAAAAAACCTCTCCTATTGAAATAACACAGGAGGCGAAAAATTCTTTTCAAAAATGACTTTGAAGCGCTGTAACTTTAATATTCATCAAATAAACTAACACATAGTGTTCAAAAAAGTTAGACAATTCAATTTTCTATATAAAAATATTTTTTGCTGAATCTATTACTGAAAAGATATCCTGATTTCTGATTTGCCCCGAACCCTCCATTTCCCATTGGATTACATGGGAATGACGATTTTCAAAAATTCATCAAATTTATCATCAATTTTCGACCTATTGTAATTGAGGAAAAAAATTGAGAAAATTTAGAGGTATTGGAAATAAAGTCAAGTTACGTTTTCATCAATATTATAAGTTATTTCATCGCCGGTTAAGGAAATAAAAATTCAAACGTAAAGAGGCTTTAACACGTATAGTTCAATGGAGAAAAAAGGTTGCCAAACTTATGGAGGGGAGTGTATCAACATGTTTCCTGATAGTAAGATTTCAGTCAAATCAGTTGGTAAAACCTTGTAATCACGTATTATTATGTTGTATTTTTTATTGTATGTTCATGAACTATATATACATGTACTGTATATTGTGTCCTGCACAATTGGCCCTTCAATAATACCATTTAGCTTAACCGTTAACCATTTACACTGACCTTACCAAAATGGAATGTTTAAAACGTTATTCATGTTTGAAATTTCTGAATGTGTGAATTTATCCAGCATTCGTTTTTAGATGTTGGACTGATGAAAGTGAACTTATGTATATCAATGCCGGGACGTGTATTGCCTCAATACTGGTAAGTAAATGCTACATGTATATCGCATACTGTTAAACCAGTTCCTTTAGTCATATGAAATATCTCGATGGCTCAAAATGGCTATATCGTGTAATTCTATGTATATATTGTACAAGAAGGAATTTTACAGATATCCTTAAGAAAACGTGTCTTGGACAATGTAAAATTTTTCTTGTCGAATCACTAAACAGTAACACCATTATTCCTGAGATGAACATGGTTGATTTCTTTCTCAAGAATCGGTATAAACAATCATTTCAACTTCAAGACGTTTGTGGCTTTTCAGCATCCTCCGAACACAGGCCTCCAGAACTCGCACCTCCTTTGTCCACGTCTAGAACCCTGCGTTCGGAGGATGAAAATGAAATTTAAAGATCAAAAGAGTGCTGACATAACCTTCTCAGGGCAACGTACCCAGATTAAACCAAGTTCCTTACTTTTCAGTAACCTTTTTTTGTTTGATCATCAGGGCTTCCATTGTGTAGAAGCATGATTGACATTGTCAATGCACATGCTGGCTCATTTTGTTTGCGAAATAAGCAGTTAAGAATACATTGTGTGGACGTCTCGAAAGTTCTTGTAAAGAGATCTAGGGTTGATCTTAGTCGTTGACAAAATCAGGCGATATTAACCTGTGATAATAATGTATTTAATAACACTAAAGTCCTACTCTTTGATGAGTACTAGTTTGGAACTCTGGGGGTAAATGACGTCATTCTTGATGGCAACTAGACGTAACCATCACTATTTAACCACGAGGTTCTATTAGGAATATGATCTTGATGAGTTATACTATTATTTGTTGATATTATTTCTACTAACACTCGATAAACTGGTAAATAATTTACTAACATCTGTTCATTTTAACTGTTATTTCAGATTAATAGTGTATTCCTTATAAGCATCATCAGAGTGTTGATCACCAAGCTACGAGCAGTTAACTCGCCCGATACTAACCAAACAAGGTAAAACAATAAAAAGTAATAAAGTCTGGATGTCATTAACCTTGATCTCAACATTTGCTTACAACTGATACTTTAGTTAAATAGCCGTGACACATCACTCACCTTGATGGTGCACTTTTTCTCATCACCTTTCAAATGGGGATTTCAATTTCAATGTTTTATAGAGTCGGCAATAACGCCACCTTTTTTAGGAATGCTATAATTTCTTAAACTTTTATCTCCAAACCAAAATCTGCATACCAAATGAAAATCTTAGCCATGCATTAGGAATTGCACACTCTCACTTGAATAAAAGATGTCACTTGCATCTCAATTTCACGTGTGTTGTGTCATGAGAAATAAAAATTATTTGCATATAATGTTTCCAAACTGATGGTGGCCACCTAGAACCGCAATAAAGACACGCCGGAAGAAACTTAGCCAACATTTCATTGATACTGCTTTATCAGCATCCCAACCAAATGACTAAGAGCTATCATTAAAGAGAATGGATGATACAATCCGGGGTTATATTATTTTATTAATCGGGACCACTGCCGGACCACCGGCACCATATGACTAAAAAGTTGGTGTACGTACATGTAGTTTAAAACTATAGCTTTTAATTTTTTTTTGGTATTTCACCTAATACTTTTTTATTGTCATGTTATCGCTATGCGCTTATTAAAAGGGACAAAGTGCATAAATAAAGTCTCACTTTTGATCTTCATAGTATTTCCAATGGATAAATAAGTACCTGATCTTTCATTTGACACCAAAAACAGCTCAAACAGACCATATCAGAGTTTACACTAGATCATGAAAAAATATTTTTGATCTATCAATTTATATGTGTCAAGTTTTTAGCAATGCCATAGAAAGATGGCATTGTTGTTTGCATTAATTTTCCATTCATTTTTGATAGGATTTTCAAGCATACGCCATCTTTTAATCCAAGGGTTATTTAAAACATACACTTTGTGAAAAGTGGTAATTCACTTTTTTCAATCTCTGAACTTCAAATGCCGTTTTCTATGTAAGTAATTTTTTTTCCACTTCAGTATTATCCCAAATTAAAGTTTCTATCATATTTGATTGACTGTATGAGTGACATGTCTCAAATAATATTTTGTCCTTTTTCCTTCAAAAATAGGCGCATTGCCTGTTTAATGTTGATAAGAATATCCTTCTGCAAGTAAATGTTGGACACTTTACAGTCGTAATGCTAAAATATTTTATAATCGTAAAATTTGGTGTGTAAATGAAAATGCAATTTATATATTCAGTCCTTAACATTTGTTACATTGACGAAAATCCATTATATTGCCAAAGGACATGTCTTGGTATGGAGAACAGTTTACCGGGCTAATAATCTTTTTTATGAAAAATATAGAAATAACACTCAAATTAAAAATTAAATTATAAATATTCAAAATAGGACATTTTAATCTACAATATATAAATATATCAAAAGTGTCCGAAGCATTTTTTGCTTATACATATGTAATGTGCAAATTATGAATATTCAAAAGAGGACATTTAAATCTACGATATGTAAAATATCGAACTGTCCAAAGCAGGCGTAAGGTGTAGTAGACTGATGAACTTCGTTCTCCAAACCGAGACTACAGTATAGTCTTTTGCTGACGTGGACTTACGTCAGTGTAGCAAAAACGAGAGGCTAAATGTATTAATTGCAGATTCATATAAAAACGCTATCCAAATCTGAAGGCATATTTAAGGCTAGATAGACTATAATGTCTAACTTTTTGCCAGATTATAATCATGTTCTGCAACTTGACCTATAAGTAGTTTTGAATCGAGAAAACTAAAAACTCATCCATGAAGTTCATCCATTTGTAACAATTACTTTCGGTCAAAATAACTAGTTGTGGAATAGTGATGACGTCTGTTACCTTCTCACGAAACTGACCACCGGCCCGGTCGGTATGTCACATTTTGATGACTAATGGGGTCGTGACAGGCGCGTAGTGTGAAAAATTTCTTTACGATTCTTTCACTAAAGAGGATCTAAATCTCTTCATCGTTGTGATACCTGTCCGGGCTAAAGAGTAGATATGTCTTAATTAAGGGGATTATATATGTCTGTGTATGCATGCTTAGTCAAGGTAGTCCTATATACCCGCTGTATCAAGTCTCAAAAAATAGATGAGCTACCCAAGTCATATTTGATATTTGTGATAGACACCTATACCCCTTTAAGTATGAATTTTTCCAGGATGATCATACATCACATTCTTGAAATACATTACTTGATGTCCCATATTTGACCCTTTAAAAGATGAATTCACGCTAGATAATTGGGTCAAAATGTATTTTCCTCACTAAACACCACTTCTACAATCGGTTTGTCTCAATTTCAAGGCTCAAAGCAATCACCAAATGAAGTCATTTAAAAAAAATTACTTCAAAACCATTTTTATTTATTTCTTATAATGTACCCCCTCCCCGCCTGATAGGCGTGGGAGTCAGAGACTAAAAAATCCATAAAGACCACCCCGGATCACTTGCCCCGAAATCATTTTCCACTCAGATCAAGTGTTTCTAAAATTGTGCAAAGTTTTTTGCTTTCCTGAAAAAGATGAACTATAAAGGGCTCATTTCTGGACATCTGACTGCGCTATACTGCACATCTGTAACATTGAAGTATAATCTTCTAGAACTACAGTACATTTTGATATTCTATCTATCATTTCTCTTTTGAGTGCTTGCTTCAAAGTTTAATATTGCATCCGTGTTTCGGCATTTCTGCCTACTGAGGAAACAATTTCAAGAAATTATCTGGTCATTTTTGCAAACATGACATATAAAATTTATTTAATTTTCTTTGAAAATGTGAATTTTAGCTCGGGGAGAATCCGCATAATGTGAAATATCATCTTTCTGGACGGATAATATTTTGTTTTACTAAACATAATTACATTGGTATACGTTTCAGATACATAATGGTAACATGAAAATTGATCCACTAAAACTGATGATTATTCAAGTTTAAGGGAACTTTTTAATATATATATATGCCATGTTATATGACCCGAACTAGACACCTGGTGGTAAAACTGGTAACTACCTAGCTATTCGCATCTGCGTTATTAAATCACACTAAAAATTACATAAAATATATATTTAGAAGTTGATGTCTTCCTGTCTATTGTACTGTTGGATTGGTATGTTTAATGGTTTATTTTCAATGTCAAAATGTAATAAGTTGATCATAACGAGGGGTGACCAATAAGTGATTGATGCTTTTTATATGCCAACTTCGTTGAATGTTTCAGCAATCTCGTATGTACCATTCAATCATCCATTAATAGCGAAAATTCTCGGTTTTAAGTAGTAGGAAAGTAGTAGGAACTTCAACAAACTTACTATCTAACACATTCTGAATCCTTTTGAACCAATGCATCATTCATTTGGGCTATAATTTGTTTTAAAATGAAACTTGTGCTGTTTGAAAGATCATGCGATTTTATAACGTATTGCGGATATGTAAAGTTCATTCTTCAATTTAGTTATTTTTGATTATATGTTTGTCACGATGATAAATTTAACTTATATTACTTATAAAGAGAACATCTCGAGAGGCAATGGCCTTCTAGATCCAGAAGTTCTAGTTTTAGTGTTTAGGATAAAATATGAATAGACCTTTTGTTTGTTTACCTAATAATGGCCAGACAACCAAATGCGAAATGCAATATTTATACAGTATGATTATTTTCAAAAATGACAAAAATAAAATAAAGGACAAATTGGATAAAATGTAGTACGTGAGTTTCTGTGATGTAATTATTGGTCGCGGGAAACCTAAATGCCATTTCTTGCAGTAAATATAGAAGATTCTACTTAGTATTTTCTTTATATTTAAGGTTGAAATCTAACCTAATGTTATTGCTAATATATCTAAGCTGTACAAATCGTGCTTATGGCATTACTTATTGTCCATTACTTATTGTATAATTGTATTACATTGTAGCAACCCCATTATTGAAAACAGTGCGTATACTGCCACACCAATGAATGGTTCAACAATACATTCCCAAAACAGTGCGCCACTAATACATACACCAAAACAAAGTTTTATTGGGGTCAGCACCAGGTATAGTCATTATAACAAATAAATTACTCAAAACGACATTGGATGATACAATATTAAAGAAAATGAGATATTCCGTTTATTCATATATAATTTATGGTTACGTATTGTTTGTTTAGTTTAGTTGCAAGACGTTTTGTAAAATATTGCGTTAGTGATATTGTAGCGTGTATTCTGATGAATAGAATAACTACATTGTTCCTTGTTAGTACGTAATATCCCTTGGAATATATGTTCACATTTTATTTGAAATACATAAGGTATTTTAAGTGATTTATGATTTGTGATTCTGTAGTATCAATGTTAATCATTCTTTGTAATATATCTATAGGAAAATACAGGCAAATATAATATTTATATATAACATATTCTTGGTGCGAACACCATCCACGTTTCGTGTCCGTATACATCTCCGAAAATATGTAACAATCGCGGAATAACATCAGTTGTCCAAGGGTATTTCACTTATTTTCAAAACCCTTTGAATGAAGGATGGGGGAATAAGTTTATGCCCTTTTTATTGAATATGGTCTATGATCTTCCGAAATTTTGTGTTCCTGATAATTCGAATGATATTGATGCGTCATTCGTCAAATGAACACATGCACTGTTTAAAATTACTCCAATCTTCCCTCCGAATGTTCACTCAAAATAAGTAGATGATCACACGCTATGCATGAATAGATCCTAAATGAATTCGAAAACAGAACTGTTACAATTTTATGAAGTATAACTGATGTTGCAGGAAGGCCACTCGAGCGATCCTGATTCTGGTTCCACTACTTGGTCTCCAGTACCTATTCATTCTATACCGTCCAGATACAGATGAGAGAGGACTCCAAATATATTCCATTATTTCAGCATTCGTCACGTCATTTCAGGTAAATTATGTACAAAAAAATAAAATCGTAACCATGTTCATTGAAGACCAACAATTAAGATTATCAAATAGATATAAGTTTGAGTTTTTACACCATACGCTCAGAAATGTTCCTACAGATGTGTTGGTTTGAGTAAAATTGAATATATGTATCTCAGTATTGAATTTACCTTAATTGATTAATTCAGGTTAATATATTATATTACATCCAACTTACCTATTAAGAATAGTTACATCTTTAAAACATGGATACGCTTTACTGTGCATTATACATGTACTTTTGTATTCCTTGCATATATATAGCATTCTTCGCTTAGTAATGATACATAGAACATTTACTTTCAGGGCTTATTCGTGGCGTGTATCTACTGCTTCTTCAATGGAGAGGTAACGGAGAGAATACATAGTCATTTTATGAGAATGAACATGGTCCGTAGAGCAGTAAATAATACATCAAGGCTATACCAATTAAACAATGTAACAACAGTCTAACAATTTCCGCCATCTTTATTTTGCTAGTAAGAATAATATATCTGTTGTGCAACATTTTGTTAGTAAAGTAGTGTGTCTTATCATTTTAATCAGACACCTTCTGTATTTTTAGTGGTGAAAGATTCGATTTTATTTGATGGTAGTTTTATCATTTATATCGATTTATTGGTAGATTTATATATGCTTAATACTAGGGCGCAATGACGTTGGTAGTGACGTTTACGATTGTAATAAGTAAAATGGCATAGAAAAAATGTTAATAAAAGTCACAATTTAGTATGGATATGCATCTCCCAGATCAAGAACTTACCATCGTTTCGAAAAGTAGCAAAGTCGCCTTTGTTCGAATCAAATCAGCGTAACACTCTTGTTTTCGTCCTTTTAGTCTGTTGGACGATTGGTAAAGTCTTGTTGTACCCTCAGCTTTGGTATACTTCTGCGCATGACCATGTTATATCTTTGTTTAGCATGTTGAATCTAGTTTTAACTCATTACTTATTTTTTCATTATTTTGAAATATATCGCAGTTAAACATAAATATAAAATAAGTGGAATTCGAAGAATGCACAAGTGTGACGAGTCATAAAGTATTTTCTCATTGTAATCAGGTAATTGCTATTATGAAACGGAAGTGGGGCCAACATAAGCTAATGCGAGGGGGAAGAAGAGGAAGTAGTAGACGGGGGACATTATACTCCACGCAGATCACATCAGGCGAGGTACAAAACTCAAGAATCAGGTCATCTTTTCCATTCAGTAACCTGTACATTTGGATCGATTAACACGATCCATGTACATTTACGCAGCTGAAATTCCAATATTAAAGATAAATAATTATTAAATAAATATTTTTCTTTCATAATGCTCCTTCGTTAGCATATGAACGCTGTTGAGCAATAAAGTATATTTCCAGGTCCCAAAACCCACCGAAAGTCATGTCAACACGGATCTGTAGTACATCAGTAGTTCACAGTGAGGAACACTGCGGCTAAAATGATGTGCTGGAGCCAGATATAGTTGTAAATGGGTGAAACGATATCTGTCATATTTAATAAAGGATAGCTGACACGTCGTGTTGTAAAAGCCAGACACGACGTAACGAGGATGCCTTATTATTCATTAGTACAGAATAGTACTGATCATGAATGTTAGACAGTTTGTTCTAAGATTATTGTATAATATTGGTTGGACCAAAACCGACCTTGATTCGGTGTTACCAATAGACGATAGCTACTGTAAGCGAATCCAATGGACCATGTATATGTACATTAAAATGGATATATCTAGTCATTTTCAAAAGCAGCCATTTGTTCAAACTAGTTCCGAGATATGTTATATTTGTGTAATAAATTGTGTCTATCATAGCTTTTATAAATAACCTCGATGAGGATTCAAATGTAAATACATTTACAAAAGCCGATCCAGAGGTTCTGATAAAAATATTTTTCTTAAGAGGAAAGCACTTAACATTTTTCAACAATTTACATGATTCATATGCCTATACAGCAGAGAATATTCAGAATGATTAATTGATGGAACTTTCTGTAATCACAATTTTCCTACCCGATTGAGGCACTTGGTCCAGGATTTGAGCTCAAATTGACGTCATAATTCATTTTGAAAATCTGAAAAACTAAATCCAACTGTGCTATCCTATTTGAGACAAAACTTAACCAAGATACTCAAAATAATGTCCTCCTGCATTAATAAACTACATTAATACACCCTGGTATCTATCCACCCACTGTTTGTACACTCCTTGTTCCAACAGCATTTTTAATTTCAACAAATGTTCTAAAATATGAGACAGTCGGATCCCTCACTTTAGGGCCGGTCCAAAGTCCAAACACAACAAAGGCCATGAGGGGCATTATCATTATCTTAGTATGGAGAATGTCCTAATACCTTCTCTCCTGATACCTAAACATTTAACTTGTTGCTGATAATATTGTTAATCATGTCGGATTTGTGACATGGTGTGGTGTCCTAGTCAAACATTTTTAATCGTTGGCTCTGTTTCGGTCGCTTAAATGAATTGCTTTACATAGATGAACTGAAAGCTTAGAGTCTCATGTCTTGTCTAATGTATCATAAAGCTTTCATGTTTGCTGTATCAAACAGGATTTATAATGATTTCACACTTGTGAGAAGAGAACACTAACATCAGTTACCATTAAAACAGACATTTGTAAAATTGTGTAACCTTGTAATGGTTTTTTGATCATTTGTTTAAAAGAAACCAAATTTTAAACTTCACAAATTTTACTCTGTCCCGCTATAGCGTTATTGAGGTTACCATAGCAACCATAACTTCAGAAATGTTCATTACTAGCATCTACATTTATTATATCTCATGAGAATATTAAATGACCCAGTTACTCTAAAAATATTATGGAAAACGAATGATAAATGTTTAGGTTAGAGCATTTTTATCAGAACTTCTGGATCAGGCCTTGTAGTGCTAACCCAAAAATTCAAAAAGGCCTTAGAATCGGATCTATAGGGATAACAAAGTTACAAGCAATCTATTCCTTACAATCTCAAATACAATATCTCCCAAAAGATTCCCGATATGTATAAACAATTTTTATGTTTGCCTGCCTGGTAGATCTGGTTCTCTCTTTAAGCTTTAATGTCCTGTTAAAGAACCTATATTCTTACTATTGAAAATGGATCCTTGCAATACTATCCCACATGAATGTACTTGTTGAGATTCAATCAACTTGAGTTTCCCCGAGAATTTGAGGATTTTCAATCAATTCCCAGGGCGACGTACATGATGGTATCCCGATGCTTAGTCAATAGTCATCCAAATGTTAAGTCAATGCACTCTTGCTGAAATCCTCATTCTATCAAGAACTCAAGTTTATAGAATCTCAACAAGCAGATTCATGTTTGATAGAATTGTAAGAATCCATTTTCAATAGTAAGAATATGAGGTTCTTAAACAGGACATTGGGCTTGCTTTTTAGAATTCTTTGTTGTTGGTATTATTATGTCGTTAGGTGTCACTCTGTGCTTTGATGACAGGGATCTGGCTTGGTTATTGCATTATTCTCCAATTTGGAGAACAGATGACACAAATAAGACGTTTACTATTATTTAATGTGTATTATTTGATAGAACACAATCATCTATCAATTGATGATATGACCATTCCTCTTAAGAAACAATTGGTACCTGACAAAAATTCAAAACGTTTAGTAGCGTCGTAGTTACAATGACATCGATGTACGTTTTAACACAATCATTTAGTAAATTAAATTATTACCATATCGATAAGATTGCTGGTTGTAATCTTAGTAATTGTGCGTACTGTAGTATTCTATGATATATACTTTGGTTTGATTTCTCATATAATGAGTTGACTCCAGATTCATGTATAAGAGGAATCATCTGCATCGCAGTCGGCATCGTCGTACACATGTTAATGTTATATAATAGTGCTGTATGCTAAATATCATCATTCTCGCACATGTACATAGGTCTATGTATATAACATAATTTATATTGTAAAATATCGTAAATGGACATAGCCATATACATTAAACAAATACAAGATTCAGGTGTATGCCTGTAGTTAAAGCTGTTAAAGTTTCAGACTGCCAAGTAATTATTGAATATACAGTATATTTGCTATAAAGTCCGTTTCATCTTTTTGAAACTGTATGAACTTAGCGGAAACAAATGAATACCAAGAAGTTTCAGTCATATATGGAAATTTTCCCCAACTTGAAAGTTGCAATAAAGTAAAGCTATAGAGATTTGATATGTTACCATGGTGATGACTATTTTTTCAGAAAGGAATGCGAAAGTTTAACTTATACGATTTTAACTGATTTAAAGAACTGGGTCATCTGTTGAAAAAATGAAGTAGGGATTTTGTTGTTGTTGTAGTTGAATTTTGTATAAAACAGATATACAGTAACATGGCGTTGTGAGAACAATATATAAGTAAAATTGTGACACGGGCACAAATGTCTCAATTTTTGAAGGTTCCTCCCAAAACTTCATTTGGGTGTTCAAGTAATCAGTAAAAATATTGAAACATAGTTTTCATAGAGGATTTGAAACACATTAATGAGTTATTAAAACTGTATTCACACATAGCTAGGCAAGATCAATCAGAATGCACTATTGTAAATACTCTACATTCTTGAAATTACAACTTGTTACCAAGCATGGTTATTTTTAGATTAAGTAAAATTGATTACCATAATCAATTTCATAATTATAAGTGGCAGTTGAGTTAAAACCCAAAATACTATCAGAAGGAATAGCAAGGCATGTGGTTGCAGATCAAATGCCAATTTTTTTCATTTCTCATTAGTGATTAGTGGCCTATATTAGACCATTCTTCGGATGAACCCGTTGCAAAAACAATTCCATTAATACTGTACAAAATCAATTGCATTGTGAGATTTAAGCACATGACTCAATGGATTGTGGGTGATTTAATTCACTCTCATACCTAGTATGGTAAACGTTATATTCGTCCCGTCGCACTCGTTTAAAACCAAATATTCGTCGTTAAATCATCTTACATTCCATTGAATCCTGGGCTGAAATCCTTTATCATACGGCATATAATTAGTGTGCCATGTATGTTGAGCATATATTAATCCGCCCGTAAATTATGTACATCACCCTTGGTGGCCATACGGTGGAAAGTATCGCAAATATAAAAGCATTGTGTTTGGAATGTACACATATTTACTATTTAAATATATATAAATAAATTATTTATTTTTTAAACGTGTTGTATTTTCTTTAAAAGGAAGACGTCTTCGTTGTTTGTACGAGACCCGATCATAAAGACAAAATGCTCTCGTTTAAAAACTTGCAATTGAGGCTCAATAGTACTACTAACTGCTATATAGCGCTGAATTTCAGACATTAAATTTATTATGTGTAAAACAAAAAAGTAAAAAACAAAAATTGGACCAATTTAAATTTATATGTTTTCTATGGCACAGATACAGTGCAATTGATAGCAAACCTTACAATGTGCCACCATAACATGTATAGCGATATTTTGATTCCCACAGATCATCGGTCATATGGACCGTTCCTCACAATTGTGTTTCTAATTTCATCCTTGAATCTAACGCATTATTTTTCTTGTATGGTTGATATATTCACATTCTTGTAATTAATGATTTAAATGCTTTGTTTCAATGTCGAAATGAGCAATGTAATATATAACATTATTTTAAACGCATGTCAGAAGAAACTATCTTTGGTTAGGAGAAGTAGAGAACATCAACGCTTAATTATGACATCTATCTGAAGTAACATATTACTAATCTAACATGGATGTACAATATTGGAAATATCTCTATGTCCACAGTGTATTTATTTCATAATGTTCATCATTGATAAATAGTCTTCATCTTTTTAACCAAGCTGTACAGATGAAGCCGTCTACTCTTAACCTTTGATGTCCTATTACTTTACGTTAATGTATCCTGTGCCAATATATGCTAGATTCACATTTAGCCTCCGGTCCCATACATTCCTCGTTAGAGTCCCCGGAAGGTATACATAATATGGAATGCAAAACAAGGAATTACACATTCAATCCACACGTTCACCAGCGATCGTATGTTTCTATCCATTGCGATTGGTAGCAATTGTCTAATGATATATCATGGATTTTCACATGACATCATTATGACAGTATTTTGTCTCTATCAAACATGTCAAATGGATAAATCTCTGTAGTTTTCCTTTTTCATAGTAAGTTTTAGACTGATTACAATTATCAATCAAATATCGTTCTATCATGCGACGCCATTACAGTGACGTCATTCTGTGATGGTGAGCATGGGAATTGAGGTTCTGCAAAATAAAGTCATATTCTTTAAATTAGACTAATAGAATCACAGAATGCTAAAGTTACATAACCAATGCGCATAGGCAAACGGTATATTAAAGCCCATATTTATTTGTGATAACAAGGAATCAATACACAATGTGAGTAGGCTAGATTTATGTTTACAAAAATTGTAACAAAATATATGCATATATATTTAGAGGTTATGTCACTATCGTGGCATATATGCCCGAGGTCTCAGTGATATATGGCCCGACCTTGGGAGGGACATTGATCTCTGAGAACCGAGGGCATCTGTGCCACGATAGTGACATAAACGATTTATAACATACCTATGATGATGTAGACTGGTCAGAGAGTACCGTTTTCTTATAGAATTGACAAACAAATGGTTTGAAAATGATTGAAATGAGTTTATAAAAATTGCTCGCGCAGTTTTATCTTCGATTGATTGGTTATGACGTCAGCGCCTTGACCAATCAGAAAGTTAGCGGGCGCGGGCTTTTCAAAACTTATATTGGCCCGCTGTCTTGTGTACACTTTGCACTATACATCATCATAGGTATGTTATAATAATATATATTGAATACGCGCATGCACATATTGCTGTGACAAGACATTTATAACTACTATTATTGTTGTTGTTGTACGACTGTCTTAAAACTTTGTATTGCAAATCAGTGGACCATCCATCATCACCTAAGACCCGGACGAATTATTGCCATGACTTAAGATAACATAATACAATAAGTTTAGTACAGACTAGACAAAGCCAATGTTATTCCCATGCTTACAATAGAGTGGTCAGAAGTCATGCCATCGCTTTGGTTATGATAGGCCAATATTTTAAATGATCAATGGAGGGTAGATTATTTAAAAGTATAAAAGTGGTTGTGTACACCTAAGGTCGGATAAAGGAGAACCCCTGATAAGGAGAGCTTTTTAGAAGGACACAACTATTTTATTCTGGAAGTGATCATCATGACATTTTAACATACTTTTAGAAATGAGGTGAATTTATACATCCTGAAATATTTTCTTTGAATTATTAAAACGTGCGTTTGAAGAACAGTTTTTGTGAAGCGATAAAATTCAATTTTCCATATTTAACTGTTACATTTTGCTTAAAATCAATAACTTTCCCATTACTGTACAAGCAAAATAGAATGTGACTAAGTAACATAATAAAGCAAAGTCATAGTTTCCGTAAAGAAATAGATGGGTGCTCCACAAGAAATATATTTTACGATTTTTTACGAATTGGTTCCATTATTCCGTCATTCTCATGAGTGGAAAAGGTCTCAAAACATATTTCTAGGGAAACACCCATTGATTTCTTTTTATTTCCTAAGAGTTCAGATAAATAGGTATCTTACAACTGTGACACTTTGTTCCTATCCCATCAGGCCATACACGGATTTTAACCACAAATAAAGAGTCTAACCTTAAAAAACGAGTTCAGTGCCTTGCAAAAAATGTTCTTAAAAAGCAATTTTTATTTCACACAAGTTGTTTTTGGGAATATCTAAGATCATCACTGATGTAGTGTTAAACTTCCGTGATGATCACATTCAGAATAAAAAAGCAATGTCCTTCTAAAAAGCTCTCCTTATCGGGGGTTCTTCTTTAATTAATATTTATGGGCTACGGTTACAGTTGTTAGGGTTAGCTTAAACTTGACTGGTCAAAACGAGAATCGTCATATCTTTGCAATCATTTTATAGGACTGTTCATTACATTCATTGTGTCATTGATAATCCAAATGTTGCATATTTTTCGAAATGAATATCGTTTTCATTTTTTTTCATGTAACAACAATGGGTTATCAAGGGTGTGTACCCTTTCACATACTGTTAGTTTCTTCCTTACATGAATTACTCAAAGAAAAGATCACTTTTCATGATTATATTTTTTACTGGGTGCATCAAAGTGTCATGACTACATGCACTATGACTTTTGTCCATACTATTATTAATGATGTGTTATCATGTGTTGGCGTGTCACCTACGGATACTATACTATACCTCGTTCAGGATTAAAGCTCCTTACACTATTTGAGTCAGAGGTAATCATTTCATCCTCATAATGTTGTCAATACAAATTAAGCTACCAAATCATAGCATTCCCTGAATTTCATGCATTCATGGGTACACCTGCCTGCCTTCATTTCATAAAGAAATAAGAAGCCATGACAGCTACGTTTGCTTGTTCTATTCAAAAACAATATAACTAGACCCTGACGCCCATGGCACTGATTCGACCTTGTGCACCTAAAACTCGTAGGTTTATAACACAAATATCGAATGGATAAATCTAGTTTTGACCAGGCCTGTTTGCTTTGTGTCACCCGATAAATAATTCGGGGCAGAACCAATCAGAGAAATAGCCATGCTACAGTTTTAGATAAACATAAAATAAAGACAAATAAGATTAGCACATTTCTTTGATTTCCTGATTCTAGCACAAGGTACCCTTTGCAAAGAAGCAGTGTTTGAAATTTCAAATTATTAATAACTTATTAAGTAAGTGCTACTTACTTACCAGGGACACAAACCTGTTGCAAAATATATTGAATCAATGAGAAATGTTTAATCAAGCATATTATGTAAATATGGTTACGTTTCCTTTGTCTATTACATATTCAATTTATTATTTACAAGCAAGTTGCAAAATGAAGGCACAGCGCTTAACTGCAATACATGCCTATAAATCATGCAAATTTCATTAAACGCTAGTAGCCAAGTCAGCATTCAGATTCTTTTATGCCGGTGAGGTATCTTGGAAATTCCAGATGACAATGTTGTGAAACTCTTTAAATTTCAAAACGGATCCTATTCTTTAACAAAATAGAGCAGTTGCGAAGGTATGATTTTCTCTTCTTGTACCAACACAAAATACTAAAAGGCAAGGCTAATATCCTGTTTCAGAACCCGAACCCATACTCTTACTTTTGAAAATGGATTCTTACAATACTATCCAACATGAATCTACTTGTTGAGGTTCGATTAACTGGAGTTCTTCTGAGAAAAAAATTCAGCAGGGATGCATTGTTTGGAATGTTGGGTTAGCACTATTCCATACTAAATCAAAGCGTTTGCGACCGAATACTTCAAGAGATGCCAGAGTCATCAAAAACATTTCTCACCTTTGTTGTGCACATGCACATCTGTGCTTATAACCATTCCGTTTATGTAACGGGCAGGAATTGTTTTGATCATTCTTGTTCATATTTTTGCAATTATTCATCTTCAAATCCCTATTGCATAACACATATATACATATAATGCTGACACATATTTCTGCCAGATCGATCATCAATATTCTGCCTACAACTCATGGAATCATAAAAAAAGAAAAACCATACCTTTGAACATGCTCCCTTTTGTTACGGAAGTTTGATAAGTGGATTATATTTTGTCATTTTAAACTATTTTTCAAATGTGCACTTGTCTTTGGATTTAAGTCACATATTGTTAGTATGGCCTAAAGCCACATTCCTTATGAAATATGTGTCCATTTAACAAAAGTCCGACCACATAATATATACCATTAGTAGATACCATTATAGCATTAAACGTATCCCGAATCAGACAAGTGCAAACTATTATATCTATAAATGGTACTTCTACTGAAATCATCATGCGCATTAATCTAAATAAAAACTTTGGTGCGGCTATTTGAACCTCTGTCAAAGAGTGAGATACTTAAGTCGCATGCGCGTTATTCTAAAGTGACTGTGTCACTACCTCTGTTTGAGAGACTGAGATGAAGATGGATGAGGTTCGACTGCTGCGCCTTCTATACCTTGTTCCTCCTGCTTTGCTGATTTTGTACCGCCCCCATCTCTTTTTAATTGCAGATTGGACCTATTGTGGAAAACAAGGTTATATTTTCAAATAGTGTTATCATTATCACGTTTCATAATAATCAAGATTCAAATGACTTCTGGGTAAAAAATAAGCATGGCATTCACTTGATATCCTGAGCTTGTGAAATGCATAAATGTGTCTACTTCGATGTTTCTTTGACTGGTCAATGGTTGTTTTGTTTTAATTCAATTATAATCAGTACATCTTTTTACGGATTGAAGATTTTCTATTTAGAAAAATGTAGAATATGTCGATATTGAAAAATTATTTTACACATAGATGTCATCAGTTAAGTATTCAAGAATGAATGACTCTGCATGTACATATATGTATATCTTTATTGCCCTTTATTAAAAAGGTATATGGTATGTGTTAGATGTACTTAGATAACTGAGGAAACACGTACATCTTATTATCCCTTAATAACTGATTTCTCGATAAGATTGATATTCAGTTCGGGAGTTAATAGACAAAAAGAACATCTTCATACCATTACTATTCACCATATGATGATTTATTTGCAATAGTTGACCTGGAAACTCCGTTTGTTGTTGTGATTTATGCTGTTAATAATTCATTACAAAATGGTATTACAACCTCAACGGAAAGTATATGGATTTTATGTATCACCTGCCAGAACTGGACTACATGTTCATGAATAAAAAATAGTCAAGCTATTACTCTCAGGTTAACTTTAAGTGTAGCTATTTGGTATAGTTGGGCCTAGAATTTTCAGGTGGTGTATACTGTAAAATATATGATGTGTAGTATGCTGTATTGTATTGTATGTTGTTTTATTCTTACCTCAGTGCTCATGAAGCAATAAATAAGTGACACGAAGAATCCCTGAAAAACAGGTTTTACAACATACAAATTGCAATATATAAGTAAAGAATGTATTTTATATACATTAATATCAATAAGTAAAAAAATGTGATTCATTGAGCATATGCATTATGAAAAGAGGATCTTTGATTTAAATGAGCGACTTCTGGACTTAATTTAAACGTTGACTCAAATGTATAGAAAATATATGAAATTGAATGATGTGAACCGGATGCTTTATGAGACCCACCTGTGAGATCTGCAGGACGGTATTTGAGATATAATACGCCGACTCTGCTATTGGGCCACTGTGACGTGGCTTTATGATGAACAACAAGTTTGTGATTCCAAGAAGGGGGAAGAGTATTGCTATCCCTTTAGCTGCCTTTCTGAGAAAGAAATTATTGATTAATAGCAATGAATCTTACTTACGTACAACGTACTCTAAGATTCACATGTCTTTGATAGATATAACTAATATCATTTTCATAGCTTAATTAATTTGCTTTTATTTTTGTACCGATGATGAAACCTCGGTGTGTTTTTATGTTTGTTCCAATCATATCTGTAATTTCCAAGAGTTTAAACATCTAGATGCAATACTTCTTCGGCCCTTTGCTTTACAAACTATTTCCTGACTACATAACAAAAAAGACTATACTACTTGATTGGAGTTACATTTTGAATCTGTGTTTTATCACTATATCTCCCCAGTCACGTGTTATTACCGTATCGTAAATATTTCTTCTGAATATTTAATATACTTGTGTATAATACAAGCTTAATGTATATGATCACCAAAATGCTATTTGATTTTCAAAGAGCATTACTATAAAGTTTGAATGCAAAGCATATAAAAAATATGTGCTTTTTGGTATTATTGGCTTGTTTTATACACTAGTATATTAAATATTCAGAAGAAATATTTGCGATAAAGTAATAATACGTGACTGGGGATATAGTGATAAAACACAGATTCAAAATGAAATAATGTAATGTATGTGTATTTTTTAATTAATTTGGTATTAAGTATGTGTACATTTTAATAAATTACAATTACAATATCTTGATCCGCTTAAGACAGATCTCTAAATGAAATTTACATTATCGATCAGGTATTATGTCAAGCAAAAGCTCTTTTTAAGCAACATTCACACATTATTTTATAATTGTTTGATACAATTACAGGTTTTCATTTGGGAAAAATACTATCATAGCCTAGTTGAATAATTAATACTTCAATATATTCCTCTGTTAATAACAAAAAGAATACGTCTCACTTGTGCTAAAAAATCAATGTTCGTTACAATTCAATAATTGATGTTTAGATTTCAAGATTTGTCCTTATCCTCAATAACTTAAGAATATATTTCTGATCACAGGTCACATCTCACCTTACCTCATTTGGACATGTTCCGAACTATTACTCGTCGCAAGCTTCGTTACCAGAACCCGAATTATGTTGATGAAAAATATCAAATTAAGCTGCAATCAAAGAGTCATTCCATTAAGTCAGGTATAATGCGTATAACTTTTGTCTTGTGTAAGGTAGACAGTTAAAAGTACACGAATTTTACAAATCGTTTTGCTTCCATGACTATTCTTAAAGTCTTCATAGCCTGCAATTAATTATTGTTGGATTTAACGAGTTATGTCAAGCGTAACATTAGGATTTAAATAATTCATGACTTTTATTCAACTTACCACAAGGGCCAGTATAATGGGAACTAAGATTATCCAGGACTCATTTTTCTGTGAGAATTCGCCCCAGCACTGAATATGGTGTGTATAGTGAGTACTGATTGACCATGCAATCATGAAGACAAGCGGTAAACCTACAATCGCAACAAAGCAGTTAGTGTTAACTTCACTTTCCTATCCCCAAGGTGCTCAAAGTGTAGCAATGTGTGATATGAAGAGTATTTCGAATAGACATGTTTCGTGATACTTGAAAGCAATAGTGCATGGTATGAATTTCATAGGACGCCTGGTAAAAGAGCTGGTAGCACAATATACTGCAACGATATTTGACCTTATATTGTATTTATTTATTTATTATTCAGACGTTCACTTTTATATCAGTGGCACACTAAAAATATTTAGGCGTGTCTTCAGTTAAAATACATACATGATCATTAAAATATCTTAAATAGTGTTTTTAAGCCAGGCTTATATATCGGGCTGAATTATGCGTGTCGTTAGCAGGGGTAAAGAAATATTAAAAACTATATTCCCTTTTTACAGTGGAGTACATAGTACTCCAGAAAATTATACGAAATACATTTTGAATGTATGTTTTAGGTTTCTCAACCATAAATTAGACGTTATTTTTCGTAAAAATACAAACAAATTACATTTATCAGTACATCAACATTTTGAATTAATTCTTCAATATTGGTGTAAGTTTTTTCAGCAAACGGTTTTTTAAAAAATCAAGACATATGGACATCCTTAAATATTGGTTCAAATGAGGCATCGCTATATTGTGTTACGGATTTTTCATATTCCAGAATCATACCATGGACTACACTGCTTGGACCAAAGTTAAATTAATGCGTTTGTTATACACATAACATGGTTGTACATAATCAATGTATGCCAATTTAAACCCAACTTAGGTAGCAACGCAATATCATATTAAGAGAATGTACAGTCATAACAAAGAAGAGTGCATTATTTTTGTATATTTTTTAAATAATTCACACTTGACGAGCTATCCAAAACCAATGTAGCACAAAATAGGATTGACTGTTACATGTAGAGCATTTTATACAATACCAGCTGGCCTGTTACATGCAGTGATCTGAAGCTGAATTAATTACACCCACTCACTTCTCAATACACTAACCTCATAGTCAATACAAAAGAAACCAATTTTTCCTAAAATTTGATCATGGACCATTTACCTTTCATAAGAGCTCATGGGCTCTAAGTTAGATAAACCATTCTTACTAGGTCTTATAAGAATTAGCACCCTCGGGCCAGAATTGTTTCTCATAAAACCCAGTATGTATAGTTCCATAACAGATCTCATCAAACAAAAAAATCCAGAAACAATACGTACAAATACCAGTTTACACAATCACTTCACTGTAGCTATAGTTATTCTGTACCTGTATCAGTTGGAGAAATTGGGACATAACAGATAGTCAATGTGTTGGGCTGAAACATTAAATCAAATTCACAGTCTACGTACAGTATTAACGTACCCCATCCTATGAATCCATATAGTGCAAAATGGGGGTCTTTGCTAAACACAGCCACTGCCACTCTGTTATGTAGATACAAACCCTCAACGAACATCCAGAAAATGTTGGCCATTATGCTATACTGTGATATAACTAGCACGGTTTTACACAGCCAATCCTGAAAAAGATGAATCTGGTTGTAATGGCTTCATTTTGAAAGAAATCACACCCCTCGGTCAATCCCCGCAATATATATCGATGATGTAAATTACAGTTACAGTCCAATTATTTTCGATCAATGTAATTTCATATTATAGTCCATGGTATGAAATCTCTAGGGCGTCTAATAAAGGAGTTGGTAGCACACTATAGCGCAGCGATATTTGACCTTACATTAACATACCTACATATGTCCCCTAATAATTTTTATTATAACCGTTCAATATACTTCCGGCTTTTAGGCTGAATTATGCCTGCCACTAACAGAGGTAAAAAAATCACCAAAAAATAAAATCCCAACTTTTCACAATTTGGAGTATACAATGCAACAGAAAATAATAAAAAAAGATTTTAAATATATGATTTAGGTTTCTAAGCTATAAGTTTGATGTTATTTTTCTTTTCAATACCAAAAAATATGTAATCAGTATATCGACGTTTTGTATTGTTTCTCAGGTATTAATAAGATAAATGCCACAAATGATTCACTTTTATATTGGAATGACAAATGTTTAAATTATGCTAGTTTTTTCACAAAAGGGGTCTCAATACGTTTTGAGATATGGACTGCTATTCAGCGGTGAAAATTATCAATAAAGGCGGGCCTATTGCTCTTCCTTGACTAATTGGGACAACAGCTAAAATTCTATTCCCCGTAGTTAGATATAGCTCAGTTGCTTATAAAACAACCATAAAGATTTGATCGAATTCATGAATAATTGAGAAAAATCGTTATCATTATCTTCCTAAAATCTGATTGTATCCAGCGGTAAGGTCAAAGAACAAACAGCCATCAGAAAACTTGATGATAGCCACAAGTAACGTCGAGGAAGAATTTCAGGGCGTTCGATTGCATATGACTCTAATTGATTATTAGACATGCCCTTGGAATATATGAACATTGTTATACCTCTGTAACATTTAATTAGATATAAATCTTACCTATTTGTTATTGTATTATGTTTTGTAAAACATGAACAATAATTTGTTGTTAGACCCCTTGCGATTATATGGAAAAATTCTGGTAATAAAATGTTTTAAATGGTAAGAAAACTAATATGTTCCCAATCATAAATTACCTAAATATTCCACATAATTTTGTTGAATCGACTTGGCTCATATTTGAAAAATCAAACAAAAACTGAAAAACACCCTTGTATAATTACACTAATTAAACACCGACATCTACAGTTAAATTAAATAGTATATTTTTAAATTATGATAATTTATTTTTGTTCGTATGCTTAGAATAACGGTCTGTGTCTTATAAAATGTATGAAAGTTCAAATCAAAATATTTACGTTTTTTGACCCCTTGTGATGAAAGACATTTTTCGACCCGAAAGCCGGAAGTTTTTTCAGCAAATGGTATTTTAAAAGAATCAAGACATGTACACCTTCATAAATATTGCTTCAAATGTTGCTGCGCTAGAGTGTGCTACGGATCCTTCATATTCGGAAGTCATACCATGGACTATTATGCAAAGGCACCGAGCACCTCCAAATACATTGCTTGTTTTGTACCGTTATTGCAAAATCACGTTGCGGTATCCAAACTGCATGCATAATGGTCAGGCAGTTTAATACACTGACAAACTGCGCGCATAACAACTTTGCATCATACAAGTTGGAGTCTGTGTTTTCAAACGTCATCTTAAGACATTTATTCTGCATTGATTTATAGTTACATACGTCCATTCGGTGGCGATTATATGATTCTACCATGTGAAGACGATGCCCAGATGAACGTAGGTTATAAAATATAAGCAGATTAATAAAAAATCACATGATTCGGTTTTTCGATTACTGACACACAAGCTGATGTCGCACGTTTCGCAGAAATATAGAAAATGCTTGGGTTTTGTTTCATAGGTAAATCTCAACCCAGTTCTCACGTACAATACAAAATACTGGAGAGGTTAAGCTAACGATGTTTTTCACAACGTAACCGTGAACGCAAAGTACAAAAATTAACAAAGGAATGTATCGAGCGCTCATAGTTTTATGCGCGCTTAGTCTACTTCAGATACTCTTTCAGCTTCAAAGTTTCGGGTTTAGAACGGGAGATTTGAATATTTGACGTTGGGTCAACGGGAACCATTTTACTCGTGTCTGTTGAACACTATGCTGTCAATTTTGATTTCGATGCACAGTTGAATTCTTGCTGAACACGATGATGTATGTCATGCATGATTTAGCGCCAAAAATCTTACGAAACGAGCTCGTTTAAAATATGTATTAGAAAACCAGCTATAAAACCGCATCAATGACATACTATAGAATCATTACACGCTATGGTGTAGTCTAAACAAACACTGGATTTGAACGGCTATTTATATGAGAAGGCTACATGAATTTGTATATGGTCGAGTGATACGTACAGGTTCAGTTTCGATTATATATGCAAAGCTTAACCTCTCCAGTATTAAATCAGATGATCGTAAGACAAACAGACATTATATGACGCAACGCTGTATATTTTGATCACGAAAGCTCCTTGGGAACCTAATATACTGTATATTGAGATGACAAGGTTTACATCGGGAAAAATCGAGTACTACTAGCAAAGTAAGTTAGTCTCCACATAATGGTACTGTCAGCTGATGAACAAAACGAACCTTGTATTTCAAGTACTCTATTATGGGAGCCGTGTCCTCCCTGTCAGCCATTTTTAGTCTATATGCGCGCAGTTTGTCAGTATTTCAAACTGCGTGCATAGTATGCAGACAGTTTGGATACCGCGCCGTGATAATGTTGTGCATGTTGTGATAAGCTATTTTTCTAATTTGAAACGGCATGCACCACGCTTTAACAGGGTATCATTCTCTGTTTTTATCTCTGTTATCGTAAATTACCTTTTAGATAATTACACTAGCACAATTGATCCTGGCAATATAAAGATACAAATGGTGGATCGCCTCTAACTGGACGTACTAATCACACTTAAGGAAAGATAAGAAAGACAACTGATTTCAAGAATGACCCTACGGACGTTTCCCATGAATCTAAATCCTTTGTCCATAAACAACATTTGCTGAATCAATTCAGATATTTGATTAGATCTGATGCTTTGAATTATATGCTGATAAAAATATTAAGTGGAACGATCTTTGTTATCTCATTTAATCTCTGTCTCCGATAATTCATGTTATGATGGAATTATCTCTTGCAGGCAATCAATTGTTTGGCAATAACTTTTGCTTTTAGGTCTTATTCTTGGCAGCACTAAAAAGCTTCATTTCCCAAAGGAATGGCGCCATACGAAGCAAACTGACTTAAGGGATAAATGTCCATTTTGAACAGTTAAATTAATTAATATTCGATTTGGGATATATAAATTATTAGTTGGATCGCCGTTCCGAATAAACGTACTTAATAGAGATTTAATGTGTGCTTTTGACATTGACGGATAAAAGTATGGGTTTTGTTGTGCTCTAGCGACATGGATGAATAAAGGTTAAGGTTTTGAATCCGTACCGTAGTCTAACAAAGAACAAGGCACTAACATAACAACATGTCGCCAGCTTTCAAACTTTCATTTCAAAGGTCACCCAAGGTTAAATCTCAAATATAAAGTCAGATTTGAACTTCTATGCACTTGCACACGATTTAGAAAAAATGAAATGCTTTGAAGCAAGTTGAAAGACCTTTTTGACCTTCATTATGCTGCAAACACTATGATCTAATTCGATAATATTGACCTTTGACCTAGAAAGTTCTTTTAGAACTTAGTAATATCAATTTGATAAATCAACTTTTTTTCATTGAACGTCAACCAACAAAGGTCAAATCTCAAATCTAAAGTCAGATTATAACTTTTGTCAACTTACGGAAGCTTTTTAGAAAATGGTCAATTTGAAACAAGATGAAAAATCACCTTCTTGACCTTCAATATCCAGTTATTTGTTGCCATGGTAACAGATATTGGTGGACATGTGTTGGTACTCATGATATGTTTATATATGCTGACAGTAGTTTAAGTCAGACGAAAGGGTACTTGTTAAGTAAGTTATTGGAAGTTGTGAGAATGTGTTACGGACGCCGAACTCCGAACGCCGACCACCGAACGTCTTAGACTCAAAAACACACATGTCACTTATGATAACGTGACTACCAGTCGTTCATGTGATTCTTATATTGTCCTTACAGAAACCAAGGCTTTGTTGGAGTTGTATTTATGTACCAACACGCCTAACCATCGACAACATACAGTGACAGTGACACCGTACATCTAAAGTGTACGACGGTATATTTTGTCACTGTACGTTGTCGATGGTTAGGCGTGATCAAGTGATTGCTTTGGCAACTCGGTTAAGAAAGGAACTAGGAAGGAACTGTTGCAACCCACTTTAACAGCTTATTTATATTGCATGTTTTTTGGAATATTTTATTGAATGTTGTAAGCATTATTTGTAAAAGCAAGTTTCAATGGTATGTGGAATAATTGCGTATCCAATTTTGTTATAAGTTATTTGCTTCAAAACAATATTGTTGTCAGAATACATTTGTCAAGCATTATTTGTGACATATCTTAGTGAAGAAAGTGAAATGTCTCGCCCCCTCTGAAATTATGACAAATATCCAAGTCATCATAATAAAGATTTCGCATCTCACTTATAACATGTTTATTATTTATTGTTGTATAACGTATAACTTATGAAGCGTTTCATTACGTCATGATTTATTGTCTTGCTCTATACGTCCATAAGTGTGATATTCTTACGTAAAGACGACGATTCATAAATAAGAATATCACACATATGGACGTATAGAGCTGCGCAAAAATAATGACGTAATCAAACGCTACATAAGTTATACTTACGTTATACTGGAATAATAAATATACTATAAGTGAGTTGCGAACTCTCTCAATATATCCTGATATATGTAGCATTACAAATGGTGTTCCTTCTTAACAAATATCCACATAGCATATATATATGCACGTATAACTGTTGATGTTTCCATGTTTCCCCAAAATTATGAGAAAGACAGACACATACTTACCACATCCCGATATGAGCTTGTCCGACCAGTCACAAACGGCTCAAACATCACGATTATTGTAACATATCGCAGTATAAATGATATTATCAGGTTGACATGGATAAATATTCTTCGACACCATAAATTCCTGAAACAAAAATTGCGTTATTAACGTTAGTGTCCAGATCATGCACTTTTCAAATATTAATCTAGATAGAGAAAGTGCCCTGATTGTCATGTCTCATTTCTTTGGATGTATGGGTATTTATGAATTAACAATTACTATGATAGATTTCTATCTCAATAGTCAAAGCAATATATATTCAAAATACACAAACACTGCTTGATAGTGCATACTTGTTTTAATTTTTGAGTTCGGTTCTGCTTTTTTAATGAACCTGTTTAACAGTACTTGTGCCTACTTTTCCATAGATCTCTAGGGTTTAAATTGACTGCGTTTCCTTATCATAGTTGCTTATCCTCAGAAAGTTTTGGGATACACCAGACAAAATAAGAATTACTTAATAATGAAATGATGCATCTATTGTCGATCAATGAGATCTATTACAAATATACAAATATCTATTAAGAGTAAAAGCGTCAATTACTCGATCAACCCTCGTTAAGAGCCCAATAGGGGAGGACGTTAGCAAAAAATGTCGACGTATTTGCAGGTTACATTCTCGGTCATTTTCCAATAATGGTTAAGGTCAACAATTTGATTGTCAAAATGAGATTATGTGTCCAATGTTTAGCAAACCATGCGTACATCATTTCATTAATTGGGATGATGGTCAGTTGGGTGTGATTAATAAAAAGTGACAAATATGTTGCTATAATTATGATATTTGTTCTCGGTTAAGCTGTGGCTGACGGTCAATGAACCGAAGTACATTATCATAATTGTTGGCATATGATATCAGTCTGATTTCACCGATGTTCATTTATTTAGGTAATGCAATTATTCTTATGAACTGAAGAATGTTGGTATAATGACCCTCAGAAGTTGTCATTCTCCACTAGGTTTAACAACTGCGTATTGAAATGACCTTTTAGAAGGGACCTGAACTTACTTCCATTTAAGATCTTCTAATTCTATGTGAACATTTTTGTGAATCTCTCATGGATCAAGCTGTTTGAAAAAGATGTTTTGGGAAACGGTAAAACGTTAAGCCCCCCCCCCCACCCTCAGAGAAAGTATGCCCCGCCTCCTCTAAAAAAATTAAGGAAACATATTTGATTGGCACCTCGCTAGTTGAAGATTAATGTCAAGTGACATTTCGATTGCTCCTGCGAGTACTATCTATTGCTCTTGCTTCAATTTATCAATGGTGAAATATGATCAATTGATATAATCGATGGTGATCGAATGTTCTCTTATTGTGAACCGCGATGTGTCTTTATAAGTACGATATTTCCCAAGCGAATTATGATTAAGTCTTCAATAAAATGAAATATTGACAATTGCTTATTGACCACTTTCTTTAATAGATTCCTCATCTCTATTTCTAATATTGGAGGAAGGAGGATATTAGAAGTAAGCTATGTGGAAGACTAAGACTTCTACTATCAGTAGAGCTACTATTTAAAAGATGCAAGTCGTAAGCAAGAGCATTCTATACTTAATTCTTGTCTAATCTATCCAGTTATAGCATTTATATTTTCCAAAATGTTGACAAGTATCATTATGGCATGGAAGAATAGCCATTGTGTGGAAGTAAAGCACCACATTTACCAACAAACAGTACTAAAAATTCCTGCATAGTGGGGGGGGGGTCGGCATAGTTATGTTGTGCCTTAATTGGGCCATTTATTGGTGTTGTTGATCCGTTCCTCCTATAAATGTATACGATTGGTTCATTTGTTTACTAGGTAACCAATATGTTCAAACTTTAGAAATTACATGAAAATGGTTTGTATCCGAATGTTATAATTCAAATGGGGGGGGGGGGGCGCTATGATTTTAAATTAGTGAATTGAGAGGTCGTACTATACTAAATATCCTACCTGAATACCATAAAGATGACAAATGCTATGACTAAACACGTGAGAGAGTAGATTCCACCATAGAAGTAGATATCTCTCATTATTGGTATGATTCTCTCCTGGGGGTCGCTCTCTGAATTGGAGTTCTGAAACACATCAGTTTTTTAAGTCAATCAATGTTCAATACACGTTGTTTCTCAGATCTCTTATTTGATTTGACTGATATCAGGTGATGAGTTTCATGCAATTGAAAACAACAAGTGTCACATAAACGTGGTTTTAATTCAGGTATTCTATGTACAACTTAACACATCCAAGATGGCGTTACTTAGTTAAGTGTTTAACAAAATAAAGAATGGAAAGTGTAAATGACAGTACAAATAATTCAATAAAATACTTAATGTCGACCTTATGCACAAGTGAAGACATTTTAAACTCTATCTATTTGGCCTATACTTTGTCACGGTGACCTCAATTCAGAAGCGCCAATCCTCACTAATCTAATCAAATATGTTAGATCTTAAGATAGATGTTAAAATGTATCTTAATTTACATCTAATTGCATTTTATGAGGTAAGTACTCGTGTGGATGTATTGAATCCCTTACAGTGAGACAATACTGCTGGACAAATAAAATACAGGAACTTATACAGGGTGGGTCAAAAATGTCCATTTTCCAATTTGCTATAGAATTTCAAATATATTTTCGCAGAAGATGCGGGCAGCAATAATACGATCGATTCTAAAGTAGCATAAGTACACTGTAGCGTATAAGGTACCCTCAATAGGAATGTGAAAAAACTTTCGGTTTTGGTGTAACAATTTAGGAGTGATGCCGTATAGAGAGACAATACTACTGGTCAAATGAAGGCTTAGATACATTGATTTCATTGCGTTTGACACTCGTTTGCCCAACAATAAATAAATTATATGAACACTGAGGTTGAACAAAATTTAACCAACTGTGCTATTAACTCATGCCATTAACTGTAGTACCAAAACCCATTTGCGGAAATATTAACAAACCTGTTGATCGTAACATTCGAGACATTCCGTATAGTTGCTCTTGCTCCATTCTCCAGATAGGCTGCATGTCCGAACTGCATTATAACCTAGAGATAAAACATGAACTATTTTAATATTACTTTTAGATTTGGCGCTAGAATAACTTTTGTACCACGAGTCATGATCACGTGACTTCAAAAAGTATACGCAAATAGTAACATCTCAAAAGATGGCAGTTTTGTCTTAACATATTTTGTAGGGAAATATCACCAGCTTTGAAGTTATAATAACTCAATAGTTGTTATATGTGTTATGCACAAGCTATATAGTAAGAAATTCTGGCAACGGTTCTAGTACATCTATAAGAATGCTATTGCGGTTGTTGTTGAGAGATAACGTTGTACCTTTGGGATGAGCATCAGAGGATGTCGTCCATTAACTTCATGTTACTTGTACATCGTATTGTTATTTAACACATTTAGTTTTACCTTTTGCATGTTCATTCAAATATAATCATCCATGTAAATTATGATATTCATTACAAGCTCATCATCTTTGTGTTTATCAAAGCAATATTCCTGGGGTAACTAAAAGGTTTTCCTGAGCAAATATATTAAATCAGCCAAGCTCCTTTTTGTAACGTTAATATTTCATTACGTATGGGACTTTGGGGATTTGGGAATTTTGGCTTTTCCAGGTATACGTAAAATTGAAAACCTGTCGTAGGTCGTACCACGGGACCAACTTTGAATTAATATGGCCCTAATGTTTGCTCGAGGGTCTGAAATAATTGCATTACCAATTGAAAATTTAGTCGCCAGAAATCGTACGTCGGATATTGGCCTAAAAAGGAGTTAAATTAATGCTTCTGGGCTGGATCTGAATAGGACTCATCGGCGTACTCATGTCGTCAAAACGAAACTACACTGGGCCAAAAACCCTTCCATATTAATATTATATGAATAATAATTTTTTGGTAAACACATGGATTTTAATAAACGTTTCGTAGAATTATATACAGAAACCAATTTTGCAAATGTTCTGGAAATGACACAGATAAATGTCTATGAATTTTAACAATTTAAGGTAAACAGACACCAGGGGTCTGTTTGAAGAACAACAGATTTCAAGATTATACAATAATAACAAGTTTAAACAATTTTAAAATGATATCAGCCATGCCTTAAAAATAGTACAAGATTAACATCTTATAATTATATTGTTGAAGTAAGTCAGGGAGACACGTTAGGCATGGTGCATATGTCCGATAATTGAGAGAGTAATGATACCAATGAGAAATGTTAGATTGACTGGTTCAACATAAAAGAATTGAACTGGTCAGCCCTTTTTGTGAAAACTGAGTAAAATTTGGGAGTAAAATTAGCGAGGTATCAATCTGAGTCTTAAAATATATTGAAGAAGTTTTCGAGTGTGCTCAATCAAGCACCATACTGTTTTCGGCCATATATAAGATCTCAAAATGGATTTCCCTGTACAGACTGATTTTCAGTAATCACCGTTTTTCTTGATGCAAAATCAGTTTTTATTCATCTTACTTATTTGTTCCGTGATGATACTTCCAATATTCCATTTTTGCCTGATGATTATGTGGACATTTTTGGCCCACTATGTACATTAGTAGAAGCAATAAAGAATTTGAATATTATGAATTCTAGCTCACGTCACTTTAAACAGAAGAAAAGCCTCCAACTTATCTTGATACGGTAGGTTACTTCCACCTTTTCTGATACCTATATTCTGTTGTCCTCATAATAAACCAAACATTTATTCATTTAATCCTGTTCATTGTATTAAGCTTAATAAATGAGACCGTATTTACCAACAGTAAAGTAGTCATTTACTCCTTAAGTCGGATGTACAGTGGGAATTATCAAGACAGGCCTCTTATGAGTCACATTTCCATTTCCAGCTCACGGAACTAAAGTAGACATTGTGTCTTTGTGCGTTAATATCATAGTTTTGGATATGGGGGAGGGGGAGGAGTGTTCTTAATTTGACTATTTGTGTCCTTTTATATTTACAATTTTCTAAGGTTGACATTGACCTTATGTCACCTAGTCAAAGGTCACAGCACAGACAAAGGGCCTTGCAAGGCCTAGTGCTTGCTAGTCGACATCGAATTTTGAAATAGTTCAAAATTAGAAATCATTTTCGCATCCGAGTATGTATACGTCCATGAAGTTCAGAAATAGACCGTAAAAGGTTGCAGCTACGTCCATTCCGTTCGAACGCAACGTTTTGAAGAACGCAGTAAAATTCCAACTAGTTTGGTGTGATAGCCATTTTTGCTAACTCGTTCATAGGCAGTCTATTATACGTCCATCTCGTCTTTATTCAGTCTGCAGTACGTTGATATCAAGTTTAGATTTTGTAAAATTGCTTGTTCATCTCGTCGTCGATACAACGTATCCAAGCAGTTCAATTACGTGCTCGATCAGTTTAAACCCGTTGGCAATCTTTATATCTACCTCGTTTTCCATACGTCCAAATATTTTATTGACTTCTCAACCTAATTTCAAGACAGTTTACTTAGGTTTTGGAACGCATATATCTGCACGGAATAATAATGACTAAGGTAAGAATCAGGTGTACACACGACTGTAATTTACGCACGACTGCTCGACGTCGTAATATTTAAGTTTTCATTCGTTTTGATTGCAGAACGTGACCAGAAAATCACAAGAAAATTCTGAGCATGCTCTAAGTTCTGGAGGGCCTGCCCGGCCCGTTCGAGTACATTCATGAAGTTTGTTTATAGACCCAAACGGTTTTAGGTGCGTCCAATCCGTTCGTACACAGTTAAGCTCGTTTTCCGTTGTGTAAACTAGGTTTTGTGATAGGGGGAGGAGGGTTAAAAGAAGTAATTGCAGGGGGGGGTAAAGATGTAACTGCGTCTGGTCCTAGAGAACGTATTTATTAACCCTACTATCACACCAAACTAGTTCCCACTACGTTCCCGAAAACGGGCTTCAACTGTGTACGAACGGACTGGACCTACTAAGAACCGTTTGGGATCTATTTACAAACTTCATCGAACGTACTCGAACGGGTAGGTCCTCTAGAACTTAGACAATGCTCAAAATGTACTCGTGGTCGTCACGTTCTACAATTAGAACGAGTGACAACGTACTAACGACGAGCTGGACGTACTACGAACGGAACCGTCGTACTTCAATCCTACTAGGGACGTTTTAACAACGAGTTGAACTGTCTGAGGACGTGTTGAGAACGAGGTAGAACTAATTGCAAACGGGTTTAAACTGATTAAGAAACTTTCACGATTCATCACAATATGGACATTAACAGGGTCATCCGCGATATGTTATTCGAGACAGATGCGATCAACTGTTCCGACTAAATCATGAAATTAAGTGACTATCGCGAGTTTTTACCATTGAATCATGACAGTCTGGCTCAACCAAAACAAGTTTAGGTTTATTCAGCTATACTGGAAACTCTCTTATTTATCGGTTTATAATGATTTCGTTTAGTCATCTCGAAGAAGTAATGAAAGATTTGAAAAATGATCAACTCTAACATTTGACAAAGTCATTTAATTTTCTATGAAAACGTCGTTTACTTACCAACTAGTAAAGCATTTGTCTACCCAAAATAATGCCCCTTCTGAACTTGACAGACCAATATAGATAGCCCAGTATCAATTGCTATTGATGGATTTGTAATTGTCTTCTAATTGAGCAAGGACCCGATGAACTAGGTCACAATGACATAATATGAACTTGAGAAAATGTTTTCTCTCTGCACCAAACCAGTCAGAAATCAATCCACAATTAGGCCTATATCAGTTAAAGATTAAAGTAATTGTAATAGGGCTTTACATGAATGAGCAGTCATATTAAATCATTTTTAAGTCCTTTTTAATCTTGACTTCCCCATGTGATAGCTGCAGTTTGAAGTAATATAATTGCAATGTGTTTGAACAACTAATTCAAAACCATATCACCTGCAAGAGAGCGACAATTATATCATTCAATATAATGATCTAGACTCTTGATATAGCATCTAAACCTAATAGAAATGAAATTCCAGTCACTTCAATCCAATGTCAAATGAGCAAATATCAGAAGATATTATGTCAATGTGACAAAATGTAAATTTTCTCTTGCACTCTATATCAAAATTGTTGTAGAATCCAGCAAGACAGAGTTGCTGTATCATTTACTTAACTGATACTGTATTCGGAGTCTAAAATCCGAATAAATGAATCTGATATATTTCACAACATGGGAATGTGCTTGCTCGCCGTTTTGAAAATATTATATTGTGACATATAAAATATTTATTATCGCTTCGGCGAAATGACCTGTATTGCAACAGTAATATTTCTCTGAGATTGCCAATTTACGAATTTGGTCAGATTTATTATAATGCCATATTTTATTTGAGTCGCTTGTGGTTTATGTCATGACCAACCGAACCATTCAATCAACGTATAATTACATTTCGTCTAGTTCGGAAAGTTCACCTCGACGTAAGTATATTGGCAAGTTCTTGCAGGGGTGCTCTTTCAAGTCCGATGCCAACATCAAGCGACTATCCAAAAGTATAAAAAATTGTTTTTTAAATGGCCAATTAAGACAATCATTCGGGAAAGCGCAGGTGAGTAGTTTCCCAAATACACTTTCGCAACTGAAAAATCAGCGATTCTCACGGATAATTTAAAACTCGAGAAAAAATCGTGAAAACCAACGATTAATTGAAATGTTCCATTGATAAAATCAATGTGAACGGTGTAGGTATATTTTGCAGGTATATTCTCAATTAAACCTCGATATGAGCATATCGAATCCACCACAACTTGGGTGTAAAGGCAAGTTAACCTCAAAAAGGATTTGTAGGTTACATACAGTGTATAGACTGTGATATACCGATGCAAGTTCTTGATAATGATACCCTCAGGATGAAAATGCCCAAAAAGGCCAAGTTATGCCATAAAGGGGGGGGGGGGGGGCATGGGCCATCCGCAAGTGAACATAACAGAGCTACTTTGAGTATTGCTATCATAGGGAATATCATAGGATTACACGTAATCGTTTTTCAACTGTATTACTTCATTTCCTTCCAT